TCCTTTTCACCCCAAAAGTTTGGATGTTTTCCTTTTCTTTCAGTCCCAGTGACAGCGTTATAGAGCTACTTAACTGTATATATATTTGGTCGTGCTGGTGCCTAGAAATCCATACTTGGTATTTTTGGTGCCAATATGTTGTAATATGGTATGTGGCACCTACAAAATCTCCCTCTTCCTGAATATGGAGCTATTTAACAAAGTAGAAAAAAATGTGGAGAGGGTCCTTTTTAATGTGACTTCCAGGGTGACATGGGACAAACACCAATCCTTTAAATTACACACTCGGGCGATGCCTTTAAGTCGTGTGGTGTTACAGAACAGTGCAATTCTCACGGCTTCAGCAACAGCATATTTTAGAATCACATATCTTGGATGTGTAATACATTTTTTAACTTTTTATATTATTCTCTAGATTAACCACTTCAAGACCAGGTGTTTAGACCCCCCCTTCCTGGCCAGGCCATTTTTCAGTATTCAGCGCTGCGATACTTTGACTGACGTTTATTCCGTCATGCAACGCTGTACTGAAATTAATTTTATACAATTTTTTGGGGACAGATAGAGCTTTATTTTGGTGGTATTTAATCACCACTACGGGTTTTATTTTTTGCTATAATTAGGAAAAATTACTGCAAATTTTGAAAAAAAAAAATTTTTTTTTACATTATGTTAGGAAACATTTATTATTACCCAGTTTTTTGGTAAAATATAAAAGTCGGGGTCACTTCGGTTAAATAGACACCAAACATGTCAAGCTTTAAAATTGCGCGCATCTGCGACATCGCAGAAAACTACCATACCCAAAATTGGCTATAGGCGACGCTTTAAAAGCTTTTACCACGCAGGTGGTTAAAGGGGTTCTAAACCCTCCGTTTTTTGCCTATATCTACTGCTATCAAGCAGTAGATATAGGCAAAAAGTTAAAAAAAAACCTGCTTTAACAGCGGTTTAAACTTACCTTGTTTTCGCTGTGCACTCCCGTCGAGAAAACAAAACTGCTCGGACGACCGCAAAGCATCTTGGGGCAGGCGCATGCGCAGTTCGGATTCTCGGCCGGGAGACGAGCAGAGACGCAAAGGTAAGTCTATGAACGCGTGCACCCGCATGCAGACAATGCTGGATCGGAAGTGCCTGCAAGCAGAGAGGAGTCAGCGCTGGATCAGAGAGCCGCCGCACCACTGGAGGGACAGATGAAAACATCAGGAAAGAAGAGGAAGATCGGATTAAGAGACATCATTTAAAGGTAAGTGCTGACATTAACATTGGAGGGAGGGGAAAAAATTATCCTTTAATGTCACTTTAACCCCTTCATGACTGAGGCCCTTTTTTCCATTTTTGCACCCATGTTATATTCCACATTTTAGGCCTGAAAATGACGTAAAACCCCCCAACATTATATATTTTCTGAATGCCAAGACCCTATAGAATAAAATGGTGGTAGTTGAAGCCGCAGCAACCAATCTGATTCAATTAGACTTGAACATTTGGGGCTTTTGAAGTTTCTTTTTCAACTGGTTAAAGGCCTGAACCTGCAGCAAACATTAGAAATTTGGCAGCTGGAGTCCAGCTGTAAATGTAGCTGGTGTGCTCCCTGCTCCCCCTCGACTTCCTCTGGATGCAAAACCTCTGCTTCTCACTTCAGGCCATTTTTAATAACGAGGACTGCCTACATTTAATGGCAACTATGGTAATAGGGGGAATACGGGGGAATTTATGGTGCACGCTACTTTACCCTGACATCCTGCAAATAAGGGCAGCTGTGCCTGTGTCAGCAACAAATGTATGCTGCAAACTCCCCCCTCCCAACCACCAAAATGCCCTAGTGAAATAAAATATACTTCCCCAAAAAATAAGCCCTGACACATTTTTTGTAAACCTAGCAGAAAAAAAATAGATAACTGTGACTGAGACTCTGAAGGACTGGGGGACTGTTGGGTCTCTGAACTGTGAACATGGGGGGAAGGGTCACAAGAATATGTACTGTTGCACACCATACTCAGGGCTGGTGCTAGACTATTTTGCACCCTAGGAAGGACAAGCTACCTGCACCCCCAGCCGGCCTCCCGTGGCTCAACCCCCAATCCCCCCCCCCATATGGCCTTCCATTCACCTGCCTGATATCTTTCGCTGGTGATAGATGGATGTTAGCAGCTGGGAGCAAAATTGCCAGACTGCTATTGGATATTTTAATTTGAAATAGCCTATACCAGACGGGATATTGAAACCCCACCCACTGAGCAGAGGAGCAGACTTGAGAGATAAATCTGAATCTCAGTTCTGCTCCTCTGCTCAGTGGGCAGGCGCAAAAGCAAGCCTGCTATTGGCTTTTGCATTTTGAAATAGACGGCGGGGGTGAGTAGTCAAGGCTGCGCCCTAGACGGTTGCCTAGTTTGCCTAGTGGCAGCACCGGCCCTGACCATACCGCAATTTATAGTAATTTAGCACAATATAGCACAGTATAGCAATTGACTGTAACTAACTCTCCCTACACGCACTGTCCCTTCTCTCTGAACTACTTCAACACATTCTGACAAATGGCTACTGGGAACCCACCCTTTTTATAATGAAGGGGCTGACACATAACAAAGTCCCCATTAATGAGCCTTCTGACCACAGATGAAAGTTCAGGCAGTGCACTATGGTTACAAAAAAATTCGGTCTGGGGAATTTTCACATTAATTCACAAGGACTGTAAAAATAGAATATGTTTGATCCATTACAATACCAAAGCTCATTCCTACTACCCATTTTCCTTTATAAATGGAACCTGGCAATGCCAACTGACTTGACTTGTCTTAGACCCCGTTCACATGTAGCGACATACCTTTGCAGCGGCTGGGATAGCGCGACTTTCGGGGCTATGTTCCAGCGACGATGCAGCGACGGTAGCGCGACCTTCTCCGTCGGGCTCCATAGAAAAAAACAAAATCGCGCAAAATCCGCTGAAAAAAGGGTCCGGTAGAAGCGACTTGCGACCGCGACGAGCGACGCGCGACATGGAGTTAAGACAGCTTCATTGAATAGCATTGGCCGGCGACTTCTCGCGATATCGCGCGGCAAAAATGCGCGATATCGCGGCGGAAATCGCGCGATAAGTCGCTACATGTGAATGGGGCCTTAAGTAATGGCCTTCCCCAAATGCAAATCTTGCTCATGGAGATTGAACTGCTATGATCAATAATGTTTTTTTCCCAGTGTAAAAAAATAAGCCACACAGTATCTTACAGGGTTAAACTTTGTTCATTTCCCCCTCATAAATGTTTCTCTTTTAGACATGATGTAGACATCTACATAAAATAAATGTACTACAGTATTTATAGTGACTATGTCACTCTTTCCAAAATAAATTATAACGTTTTGCTGGAGTTGGGCTTTAACTACCTAAAATGTTTATAATGCTCTGTACCTTATGGCTGACGCCTAAATTATTGCATTTTTTTATCAAATGTTGCTATAAAGGAAGATATTGTTTACAAAAGCACTGATAGGTTAAATGATTCATATTTTTAGCATCCTTTTTTTGTGCATAGTAACCATCGCAAGCTTCTGTAAACATCCCAAAGTGTGTGCTTTGCTCACTCAGTCTCCATGGTCTGTTCAACTGTATTGAGGGAATCTTTTCCACTGACCACAAGTTAAAAGGGACATTACCGTTTGCATTGTCTATGTCTTTTGTGGCTGTTATTACTATATGCTTTGTTTTAAGATTATTGCTGAGAATATTTTTGTAATATAGAGCTGGGGGTATCACAAATGATCTGACTTGAGTGTTACATATGCTAGATATTCCACATATTATTATTACATCTATAACTTACTGATAATGCTATTGTATCATGAGTTATAGACAGGGACGTGACGCGTGAGGCCAACTGATGTGGCCGCTATAGGTGGCAGTAATGGAGGCAGCACTAAGGCCGGAGTCTCCATACATGACAGTGCATTTCAGTATGTATCATTCACACCTAGGCATTAGCATTTCTGCGTGTAAAACGCGTTTTTATGCATGTTTTACACTGGGGGTTTTTTGCACGTTTTGCACATTTTTACGCCCGTTAGATGCACATAGGCAAAAATGCACGTTTACTTGAGCAGATCAAAATTCATTGCTGTGAATGAGAAAACGTGCACACAAACACGAGCATAACGTGCACAGTGAGGTGCAAAACGGTTGTGTTGCGCGTTTTAATGCACTTACATTGAAGTCTCTGCGGCAAAACGTGCTGTAATCTGCCCGAAAGAAGCTCATGTACCTTTTCCAGCATTTTACAGCTTGCAACAAAACTCTCAGGTGTGAACAGGGGCCATAGAAATGAATGGGATTTCTTGTGTTGAGAGTTTTGTTGTACTTAGCTTTAAACAGGCTGTATGCTTGCCTGTGTTGGCATCTTCGCAGCAGGGGGTTTTAAAAATGGCACCTCTGACATCTGCCCCCGCCACCGCCCTGGCTGTTGTTATGATCATTTTTAGCAGAGGTTCACTAAGACCTAAAGTTATTTCTAGGGTTCCGAATCCTCTATGGTAAAAGAAAAATGCTGAGAAAGTCTGATCAGGACACATAAAGGTGTTTTACATAAAAGAGCCGCTAGATGTGAGTACTCCCTATGGATTTTTAAATATAAAGGTGTTATACATAAAAAGAGCCGCTAGATGTCAGCACTTCTTATGTATCACTGCAGAGGATTTTATATTAAGGTGTTATACATAAAAGAGCCGCTAGATGTCAGCACTTCCTATGGATACCTTACAGAGGATTTTATATAAAGGTGTTATACACGAAAGAGCCGCTAGATGTCAGCACTTCCTATGGATACCTTACAGAGGATTTTATATAAAGGTGTTATACATGAAAGAGCCGCTAGATGTCAGCACTTCCTATGGATCCCTGCAGAGGATTTTAGATAAGGTGTTATACATAAAAGAGCCGCTAGATGTCTGCACTTCCTATGGATACTTTGCAGAGGACTTCTATAACTAGATTGAAGTGTGTGTTTCGATGAGTCATGTTGATGTTGCAAGTTCATCCGGAATATTTAAAGCTAGATAAGTGTCTGTTACTGTCACAGTCCTGTCTGGTGGAAGACTGAAACGCCGAGCTTGGGAAAGACTATATTCTTGTATTCTATAATCAGATTTCCGGGAGATCTTTTCTGGATTGGTAAGTGTTTGTGCTTACAGCTGACATGTGGACTGTGGGTGAGGATGATGGTGTAACATTGTGTCTTTCTGTTTTCATTGTTTGTAAATCTAAGAGCTCACATGTGATTGTCAGCAGCACAATTCTGTTCTAGGAGTATTGATGGTTTGGAATAATTGCTTGCTATGGAGTCATGTAAAGTGTTATAGTAACTAATTGCAGATATTTGGAGAATTTTGCAATCATTAGCGATCAATCACTGCTGCATAGGGAGTGCACGAGTGGTAATCGATTGCCACTCGTGATTTTAATAGTGTGATCGTACTACTTAACATTTCCCATGGACTCTATGTGCATATTTATTTGAAATTATACATTTATATACAGGAATTGTCACTCCTACATAATCCACAGTCACAAGTAACATAGGTGTGTAGCAGTGCTGTGGGGGGTTTGGTGCAAACCCGCCTCTCAGCCCTATCAGCTGTCGCAGGGGCATTCCCCAACCTGCAACTACATTACACAAAGCATCTGATGGGGTTGGTCATAGTTTTGAGTGGACTTGGGCAAATTCAGGTGAACTGGGTTCACACCAAGCCCCTGCACATCATTAGTGTATAGAGATGAGCCTGGGTTTGGTTTAAATCCAGGTTGCCTGAGTTCGCCCAAGCCCACTCATAACTGTGATAGCCAACACCTCCTCCTGACCCAATGAATTGCAGAGCAGCGCATCCCTCTTCCGCAGCTATATGTCACAAAAGGGGCAGGGAATGCCCTTGCTGCCACTGACTGGGTGGGAGAAAGGAGTGGCGGTCACAGTTTTGAATTTTGGGTGAACTCAGGCGAACTGGGTTCACACCAAGCCCTGTTACATCTCTACTAGTGTGTAGAACTGGGATTCCAGGTAAAACTTACTGGGCTAGATAATTAGTGTTGGTGCGCCAAATAATACTTCAATTTGAAGAGATTGAAAAGAAACATGTGACTAGTTTACCAATTGTATAAAAAAAATCCCAAGTGTGACTTTTTTGCGTAAAAAGTCTATGTGCCAAATAAATAACGGTTCAGAAATTTGTGTATATTGAGTGGTGTGCAGTATTAGTAGTGGATGATGGTAAGTCATTTGCACATCCTAGTATGCACCAAATTAGCTATTTGTGCGGCGACATAATAGTTTATTGGAGATGCGACACACTGAAAAAAAGATGTCATGTGACATTCCTCACCCACTGTGTGCTGCCTTATTGGCAGTCTTGTTGTTCACCCGTGCTGGGATAGGAAGTGAGGGAAATCTTCCTCACCATGCACAGTGACCGTTATAAAAGCCTAAAAAAGTAAAAGGTCTTCTTCAGTAACTAAGTCGCAGAGGGATTGTCGCTGGCGAGCTTGACGCTACACAAACTCAATTGCTGAGTGATTCAAATTGGCACAATATCGATTCATTGAAAATACCTGATCAAATGAGAAATTCGCAATCTCCTTCACCTCTACCAACCAGCATGTAGTTCAAGAGTCTGCTTGGTTGGACCTCCATATTACATATTTTTGGTAAAAATAAAGTTGATTGTTCAGAGATTGTTGGTTCAGATTATAACTTGAATGGTGAGCCTTAAATTAGTTATGTTAATGTAGATACTGATAACATTACACAGCTCAGTATACACCGACATTATGACCACCAGCCCAATATTCAGTAGGTTCCTCTTTTGCCTCCAAAACAGCCCTGACCCATCAAGGCATGGACTCCACTAGACCTCTGAAGTGCCGTGTACAATGTATGCTGTGGTATCTGACACCAACAAGCCAGTAGTAGATTCTTTAAGTCCTGTAAGGTGCGAGGTGGGGCCTCCATGGATCAGACTTGTTTTTCCAGCACATTCCACAGATGCTTGATTGGATTGAAATCTGGAAAATTTGGAGGTCAGGTCAAAAGCTCAAACTCATTGTGTTTCTCAAACCATTCTGTGTGTGTCACTTATCTGGGGAAGATATGGCACTAGGATGCACTATGGGGAGAAGGCAAGGGGGCAGGAGCAATGTGATACATTGTGCCAGGGCACATTATCTGCTGAAAGAGGCCACTGCCATCAGGGAGTACCATTTCATAAAGGGGTGTACTCAGTCAGTAATAATGTATAAGTAGTTAGTACGTGTCAAAGTAACATCTACATTAATGACCCAAGGTTTCCCAGCAGAACATTGCCCAATGTATCACATTGCTCCTGCCCGCTTGCCTTCTTCCCATAGTGCATCCTAGTGCCATATCTTCCCCAGATAAGTGACACACATGGCTTCACAGCCCCCTATGAAACAAACTGCAATGGACTGTGTGTTCAGACACCTTTCTGTCAGAACTAGCATTAACCCTTTTCAGCAATTTGAGCTACATTCACTCTTCTATTGGATTGGACTACATGGGCCAACCTTTGCTCCCCATCAGTAAGCCTTGGCTACCCATGATCATGTTGCCGGTTCACCAGTTTTCCTTCCTTGGACAACTTTTGGTAGGTCCTGACCACTGCATAGGAGGAACATCCCACAAGAGCTGCAGTTTTGCAGTCGCTCTGACCCAGTTGTCTAGCCACCACAATTTGGCCCTTGTCAAAGTCACTCAAATTCCTAAACTTGCCCATTTTGTCCCTCTAACTTTAGGGACAAAATGTTCACTTGCTGCCTAATACAGTATATCCCACTCACTTCCAGGTGCCATTGTAACAAGATAATCAATGTTATTCACTTCACCTCTCAGTGGTCATAATGTTATGGCTGATCGGTGTAGAAAAATATATAGTGTTCATTTTTGTTTTTCATGTTTGTCTAGACACCATCATGGGATCCAAGCTGTCAGTGGATGAATCGGTAAGAGTAGTGATTGTGGGTGGAGGTTTCGCCGGCATAGCGGCTGCAAGTCAGCTGAAGTCTCATGGAATCCCTTTTGTTCTGGTGGATATGAAAGACTCGTTTCACCACAATGTTGGGGCACTTCGAGCTTCTGTAGAGAGTGGTAAGACATAGCTAATGTTATATAATACAGTATTGAATACTGTAATAATTGTTATGAATGCCAAATGAAAAAAAAAGTTCTGCCACTAACAAGTTGATATATTCCTCCTTCTTCGCAATCTAATCAAATGTAACGTTAGCACCTGGCATAAACTCTGTCTTCTAGAGCAGGCCTTCTTTAACTTTTTCCCCTCGCGACGCCTTTTCACACGAGGACATTTTTACGTGACTACAGCAGTGGCGTAACAACCGGGGGGGCAGCAGGGGCGTGGGTCCCGGGCGAAAAGTGAAGGGGGGGCGCCAGCCGAAAATGGCACTTTCGGCTAAATGCCGAAAGTGACATTTTCCTGACAATATGTATATAAAACAGGTATACAAATTAAACATTTAGTTTATAAATCATAAAGAAATTTAATTTAAAACAATTCTTTGGTATACATGTCATTTTACCATTTATTAAAGATGAAAGCAAATTTGCAAACTAATGTGGGGGGATCTCTTGTGGTCAATGCAAGGCTCTCTGGTGGTCAGTGCAGAGGTACAACTTAAACCTGACAGGGTCAACAGGTAATTGCTAGCCAATGGCAAAGGCCATAAAATATAAAAGCGATATTAACTTCTTTTAAAAATGTTATGAAGTATACAGAGACTTATTTCCACTTTGGGTGGAGATATACTTTCATCTACAATGCTAGATTGCAAGGTCCAATGCACTACACTGAATGCTGTGAAAAATCTATGTGCTGTATGTTTTATGGCCTGGACGGGCAACGGTTAACCAGTAATAAAGATATTAAGTTTTTTTTTTTTTTTTCCACAAGGTTAGAAAGACTTTGCAGGAAACTGTAAGCAAGAGCAGAGCTTAGGTTGGACATAGTCCGATTCTGTCTTGACAACCTGAGCAAGGATTGGATAGTGACAGTTTGCAATTTAAAAAATGACTTTTAAAGCCCAACTCCTGGGAAAACGTTTTTATTTTGCTCTGGACAGTATGGGAAAGGGTTAGAAAAACCTCTGTGTTGTGTTCCCCTGCTAACCAAGCACCAGAGTAGACATCTGCTTACCACTTCAGCAGCTTCCGCTCCTGAACGAGTCCCACCTTGCTCTGCAGTGCTTCAGCCCCCTAAAAGGCAAGCTCCGCCCCTTGCACATACATAGGAAGGTACCAATACTACCAAATGTACAGGGGGGTCCTAGGGCAGGGACTGTACCAAGTTACAACCCTAGCCATGTGTCCTGTATGCGGCAGTGGCGGACCCCGCAAGTGTCCCCCACATGTACAGACACCTTGCCGATCCCTGCCGGGGATTCGGGTTTTTCATTGCGACCTCCCACATTCGGTTGCATGACCCACACTTTAAGGGGCCCTGTTCTAGAACAATTTAGTGCCATTTGAGGATTAGGCTGTATTCTGTGGTTGAGAGGTAAGTAATGGGTTAAACTGCTGGGCCAGTTTGGGAATTAGCATTCCTATAACATTTTGACTGTATTTATAAAGGGGATTATTCACTAAGCTGTAGAAGGCAGCCGAGTGAATAACTGAGCTGTTTGGCTATTCACTTCTGCCCTGTACGGCTGATATCAGCCGTACATCGGCTGGCTTTGGCTCCCTTTGATTCAACCAAACATGCTCAGCATGTTGGGCTGAGCTGAAGTGAAGAAGCCATTTGACGCCGAACCCCTCACAATTTGCTGCCGTTTGCCCCTATTCTCAAACGGCAGTGAGTGAATAGCCTAATGCCGACGAGCAGCATTGGGCTTGGTTATTCTCTTCTCTACCTCAGAGGTATCGAGAGGAATAAAAAAAACTACAGTAAAGTAAAGAGAAAAAATAATTACAAGTGTGTGGGGTTCCCCCCAAAAGTCATACCAGGCCCTTTAGATCTGGTAGGAATTTTAAGAGGGAACCTCACTCACAAAAAAACAGGGAAATAAAAGTGGGGTTCGCCCCTTTAATCTGAGCACAGGCCTGGCAGGGCAGGAAAGGGGGGATGGACGAGCGAGAGGCTCACCCTCCCTACGTTATACCAGGCCACATGCCCTCAGCAATGGGAGGGTGCTTTTCCAGGGCCCCCTGAAAAAAGCACCTTGTCCCCATGCGGACGAGGGCCTCTTCCCCACAACCCTGAATTGGTGGCTGTGGGCAGGGGTGCTTATTTGCATCAGGGTACCCCCTTTAATAACCCAGATGCTGCCCCCCCTTGTGAATGAGTAAGGGGTACTTGTAACCCTACTCATTAACTAAAGGGTTAAATGACAATGTAAATACACAGATCAAATCTTTAATAATAAAAAAAACAACAGTTTTTGACAAATCCTTTAATAAGAAAATAAAAACACAAAGTGGAAAAAAATTGACCCTCCAACGTAACCAAAGGTCAATCATTATGTCCAGCGCTGTGCATGACGGCGACGACTCGTCCAAATAAAAAAAAACCACTTACCGTACACAGACTGACCGGCTTCACAGGTGGCGGCAAAATGTAAACAATTAGGCGGAGCTAGCAGTGACATCACCCGACTCATTCACAAGGAAGGGGCAGCATCTAGGTGCCCCCTTTATTAAAGGAGCTACCCTGATGCAAATAAGCCCCTTTTCCCGCAGACCCCCACAAACACCGGGTCAGGGTTGTGGGGAAGAGGCCCCCCTCTCCATCGGCACG